TGGTAAGATCGGTACAGGGAGTGGCAGCTTGACCTCTGTCTGGCTGCCTAGGCCAGCTATGGATACAGTGGCTTGTCAACATCGACGTGTGTGTAAATAGGGAATTCATGAATGTAGAAATGCTCTGGAGTCAACAGATTTCATTAAAGCATCATACAAGTATGGGCCATTTCCCTTTTTTGTAACCTTCATATGGTGAAAATGTCCTTATTCTGCCCTTTCTGCACTTTTTGGTTCTGTTCTTCTTTTTGAGCTTTCAGATAGACTTTAATTTATGTCATTCTGTGTTTTCTGGGTCATTGGTTTCACCTCCATTTTCTTTCATTCTCTAATAGTTATGTAGTTATATTTAAGCAGTGTTGTATTTTTTTTAGTTACTCTCTATTGGCCCTTGTGCTAGTCTGTTTTTCGCTAGCTCCCTTCTAGTTGCTTCTATCAACACCTGCTCCCAATCATCTAATTAGCCCATTCTTTTTTTCTCCCATATATACATCCTCCTATGCAGTTCCTCATTGCTGGATTCTCTTCATTACTTTACGCATTCATTCCTTTGATGTATTCCAACAATTAAATGTATTACAAAGCCTTCAGAAAACATTGTGCATAAAAGATTTCAACTTTTGTCTGATAATGTATCACCTTAATTTATGACAAAATACTCAATTACCACGACACTTTAACTCGAATGTTGATGTTAAATACAGATGACAAGCTGACTTAACGGGACTTATTGAAAAGTTTCCAGCATCAGCTTGTGAAAACATAACTGCATGGTTTATTATTAGATTTTTTTAACAGATCAGATAAAATATTTTTTTTTCTCTAAATAAATTCAATTTTGTCTTTGTCAGTATTTTTTTGTTTGTTTAATAACCAAGCCAAGTGTTTCAAAAAAGTACGGTAGGTGGAAATAAGCAGAAGTTTCTAAATATTTTAAGTAGTTGGTATATTAAAGGTTTAAAATACAAATTTCCCTCCCTGTTCCCCATCTGTGTTTAAGTGGGTATGTAAAAAGGAGATCTAGCATGAGACATGCTGCAGCTTTTTACCCATTAGAGTTAATAATCAATTACAAGCACCAACAGGATGAAGATGTAAGTCAGCATAATCAGTTCTTATCTATATAATGAGCTAAAGGTTGCTATCAGAGGGACTTCTAAAAGGCTTTTTTTTTTTTCTTTTTTTCTTTTTTTTTTTTTACCTCACACTGTAGAGAATATTTCCATCTGGGAAAACCCTCAGCATAATATTCTCCATAGTTGTATCATGGATAAATGAACGCTTTGAATGGACAAAGAACACGTCTGGGACCCAAATTTTCTTGACAAGTCGTGCATCGAAGGTTCGACTTTTGTTGCTGCTGGAGGGAAAAGCCAGCCGATCGTCCTGCCAGTAATGCCTCAGATAGAGGGTCATGGTGAAATCCTGCAGAAAAGTTAAAAGGGAAAAAAATCAGCACGTAAGCTGAGCGCTTCATCTTTGTTAACTGCAGGAATCACAGAGGTGCATACCATGTTTACTTCAGATATACTGTCAATGCTCTCCACCTGGACATCTATTCCAACTGGAAGAGCGGAACCTATAACAATATGGAAATAAGAAAGAAGAAGAAAAACACTTCAAGAAATATAGAGAGCTGAAAACAGAGGATGAGAAATATGCATGAATCGGCTTACTGGCCTTACTGATCTGGCTTAGCTAATTTCTATTAAATAAAGGCTATTGTACCAAGGTGTTATAATAATGGAGATCTTTAGGGTATTTTTAAAGGGTTACTTAATGGCATTGAGGCTTATTATTTTCACTGTAAAGGGAAAATACTATGCAAACCATTTTTTTAGGCCTTTAAATGCATTTTATGTATGTAGTTATGTTATGTTAGGAGTTGCTAGGAATGCAAAAGAAAAAAAAAATCTCTCCAGGTGCTGTGCAAATATAATTTCACAATTTTCTCTACTCCCATTACATTTTTGGACAATATTGTCCCATTTTTTGCTGCAATAATAACTTGGCAATAACACAAAATTTTGACACATCTGTTTAAAGGACTGGCTCTGCAGGTTTGTCCTCTTGCTCTGTGTTAGACCCTGCCTTGAATATATGTAAAGATGATTGGACAAGCCTTTTGTTGTTGATATCTTTTGTTTAGATTTGGGAATAAAACGTTTCTTTGCTGCCAGATAATCAGATCTCTGGTCTCAAAATGCAAAAATAGCCAAACAGGGTGGAGAGGAGTTGCACTATGTGGAACCCAGCTGAATGGTTAAAATGTGAATAGGAAAGATTTAAAAGTGTGATATATATTCACCTTTAATGAGAGTCTTTTTGAATTTCTTCAAGAATAATTTGCAGGAAATTTGGAACATCTTGGTATTTAAAGATTTACCCAGATATTTAAGTTTAGTTACCTACTTCACCTTCTGACATTTTCTATTTGAATACATTTTGATCCTGTAGCATGTAATATGCCAAGTGTAGAAAGAATTGACTTACTCAACATTTAACTGAGAAGCTCTGGGAACCAGATTGTTAAATTATGGAGTCTTTGTGTAATAAGTATATTTTTGCTAATCAATTATTCCAACATGCCATAACTTCAGTAAAATAAAAAGTATACATAACTAAATGTTGTATGCAGGTTAAGGAAGGACTAAAATAACAAAAAAAGTTATTACATTTCTTAGAGATACGTTAAATGCATAATCTCCAAGGATCATGCCATTGATTTGTAATTTATTTATTAACTTTATGGTACCATTCTGCATCACTACCTTAATTTATTCAATCAGTTAGCCTCCTGCTTCACAATTAGTTTGCAGGATTGTTGTCGGAAAAATTTTATCTTTCTTATATTATATATTAATTTATCCTATTTACTCACTATAAAGGTTTTCACTCAGTCTGTTTCTCTCTCAAGGCCACACATTTCTCTCCAGGCTGGTGTTTGTAGACCAGACATTGCTTCTTCCCATAACAAACCAGATTCTTTCTCAAGGTTTATTCATAACATGTTACTGTTAACCAAAGTGTGTGTAATTTGTTATGACTCTGTCTGCTTTCAATTGTTGTAAGTAGGGGGGGGACGAACCCTGCCCAGATCAGAACAGAGCAGAATGTTGTACCATAAGGGCTTCTTGATGAAGTGTTCTCTCTTTGCAAAGATATTAATAAATGTGCCGACTGAGTGAAATCCATCAATCTCCGTTTATTTAACTAGAATGAATAGTTGAATACTTTTTTCCCACAACAGGATAGAGCTAGATAACATAGAAGTTAAAAAGGCAGTAGTTCATTTCATTGTATACCAAACCATGGGATCTATAAAATAAATAAAAACAGAAGTTTTTATACCCTTAAAGTTTAAGTAAAGTCTTTATTTGAATTTAAATTTCCTAATAATTACATTTAATTCTACATTAAATATAATTTCATTTTTGAACTGATTATATAACATTTGAATAATAATGCATATTTTCTGTAAAGATAATACAATATGTAGTCATTTTATTTTAGCTTGAATCTCTTTTTGAAATGTTAATTTGTAGTTGTATTGGTTCTCAACACTTGACTCACATTTTCACTTCCTTTTAGCCAGCGTTTTATTTGCAAAAAAAGAAGGTTTGCAAAGGAATAAAACAGTAGAGAGGTAGACCATGCAGGGGGGCTGCAGTTTGCATTGATTAATCCAACTTGTCAAGAGTTTTGCATTAAATAATTCAAGAAAAAACATGCTTCAGATTGATCTATCATACTGAAAATAAAAGTGTCTGCATATATCAAGCAGTAAAGTTGTTATTAACATGTTTTAACCGATATTGTAAAGGCTCAGTTGTATCATTTATTATGATAAATGTTAGGATCTGGAGAGGCTGGAGGATGATGCATCAGTGGAGAACCTATGACAGATTTTTCAGCTCATAATGTTTCCCAAAACTTATTTTCATTCGAGAAATGTGCTCCAGGCTTTTTTGATTAAACATTTTAAAAGATACATAGTCAAAAACCTGCATGGATTTAACATGTTTTATTATTTTGTAGTAAGTTTATGTGTAGCTATTTCAGTTTGAGTCTTTACCTAATCCTTCATACAGCAACAACAACAAAAAAAAAAAAATAATAATCACTGCTTATAACAATCCCATCAGCAAGACTTTCAGCTCACATGACCTGAGTAGACCTGAGGACAACACTGGGAACAAAGGCTAAATGTACAGAGAGGCGGCAAAACAAACAGAGCTGGATGAGCTAAAGCTGGTTTAAAAGAGTTTTAAACACAACAAAAGAGACATCAAATACCACTTAAGCTGTGCATTAAATCTGTAGGTTTCTCTACAATGAACATAATGCTTCCTAAGGGATCATCTAAAACAGAGAACATGGACAACATATGATGTATACTTTATATATACTACTGTATTCTCTAAGTGCCATTACCTAATGAGGATAAACCATCAGTGTGCAGCAGCAATCTAATAGTGAAATAGAATGGATTATATTTCAGCCAGAAGGGGAATAAAAATTAAGTTTATTTATTTATTTATTTTCATCAGCATCAGTGCAGACTCTGGGAAACAGTAGCAAGTTAGAGTAGGTTTCTGCTAAAGCTGAAGTAACACTTTTGACCACTGCAGGCTGCCAACCTGGGCCCCTGAGCAAGACCATTAGCCCCAAGTTGCTTCCTAGGAGCTGCAAGATTCATGCGGCATACATAGAAGACATATTTTGTTGGAATGTACAATTACAATGTCAATGTAAAAAATATAAAGCTCTGCAACTGAAATGACAAAGAACAGGTGAAATGGAATTATAAGAGTTTGATTATATGATAAACTCAGGGAGCACAACTGTAACCACATGGCAACAGTTTAAGGGAGGCACGTTTTTACCAAATATGTTAAAATCTAGTTTTTTTAAGTACTAAAAGTAAAACAAAAAGTAATTTAAAAAAAATCAGAATAAAATAACATGAATAAAAAGAATATGTAAATCATTAATGATTTTAAGCATAAAAATTATTTCATATGTTTGGTTATTAAAAATAAAAGGCATGCAAATCCTTTATTTTTCATGTTTTTGGGATTTAGATATTTGCTGGTGTTTTCTCATCAATGATATTCATATATAGATTACTATTCAACATTTCTTGCGACACCTTGCCTAGTTTGATAAGTGGGTGCAGCAAAGTCAGTTCTAGGGTAAACATTGCTCCGTGTTTGTGGTCCAAAGTTCTATACAGCCAAAATGAAAGAAAATTCATTGCTAATTTTTTCCAGATTTTTTTCTTTTTTTTGGTTTACTTTCACAGGATTTAAATGAAAAATAAACACAAAGGGTCTTTATGGGCCCTCAAAGAGCAGTCATATATAATACATACATAACCAATATCCTGACATATTTGATAAAAATCAACTCAGAGAGGACAGTTTTGAATCAAAAATAATTATGAATAAACATAATTTAAACTTTTAGGATAATACGCTTTATTAAATAGTTGTACAGTTTTATATTTGTATGGCTCTTTATCCACATAATTCAAGTTTGAGATATTAAACAACAGATGGAAATGAAGTAAAATGTATTGCCTAACCACATGTGCACAAAATTATATATTCAAAGTGATGGAATGGAAGTAGGAGGAGACATTGACCCACCTCAGATGTATGAAAAACTCATCAATTATGGAGTTTCTCCCTTTTTAATAAATTCTGTCATTTTTATTCTGACATGTTGGGAATCAAGTTGTTGGAACGCTTCCAAATAAGAAGCCATTCTGGTCTCATGAGGGCTCAGAGTCCATTGTTAGTTTCTAATAATCCTGCTTCTTTTGAGAAATTACCAATGATTCTGAAATCCTTCTGCATACAGCATCACCAGCTTGTATCTTGATAGTTTTATTTAGGAGGAATGTTTTGGTATTTCTCAATATTGTTTGGAGTTTTTTTTGTATGATATAATTCAGAATACAGTCACGCTTATTGGTTTGTTGTAACATTTTGGCTTTTATGGATATCGAGTCATTAACTCGAAACTTTTCAAATTTTTTGTATTGTAATAAATTAAAACAATTATTATATTAAATATTAAAGAATATAAGCTAACACAACAAATCTTAAAATCCTGATCAATTAATAAATAAGTAAATCAAATGTATTGAGAAATGAAACACAAAATATACAATGAGAGAGTAATTTAGATTGTCTCCATAAAAACATTTAATTTAGGGAAAAGTATTTGCATAGGTTTTATTTTTTTATCCACCATGGTAATGTGCACATTTTCTTAAATTTAAACTTTATTTATGCAGGCAATCTCATTGAGATCTCATTGATAGAGTTTGCATGCATCAACTCATGTGCAGCCTGTTGCAGATGCTCCCATTTAAAGCTACAGTGTGTAATTTTCAGCGACATCTAACGTCCAGACTGCAGACCGCAGCAACATGAACATCTCCCCCACACCGCTTCTCCCCCCCAACAGTACGGCGAGCATTACGGGACAAAATGTCTTCCACGACGTCCACATTACCTACCTTCTCAAGTGATGAGGTTTGTTTACATAGATAATTTTACAGATAGTATTTCATTAGTCTGTGTAGGGTATAGATTTCAGTTCATCTCTCTCAGCTTGCCGTAGTTACTTTCGAGCGTAATGGGCGATCTCGCAATCGCTAGTTTGTTGGCTCTGCGCTGCCGTAGCGCAAAGATGTCTGCCTCCATGGCTGCGAGACCCGCTCCTATGTAATTATAAATAACGAATTCTAAGGCAATGCAAATATTAAGGTTAAGAGGCTGAGCTCGTAGATGATGATAAATAACATAGTTATGTATAATATATTACATTTCTGACTGTATATCCCTGTAATTATTACACACTGTAGCTTTAATTATTTGTTCTTATTCTTATATTATTTTATTCTTATATCTTATTTTGCACTGTTTATATAGGAAGGGTGCAACTGTACTTTGTGGATTGTAATTTTATTTATTTTATTTACGTATTTTATTCTGTCTTATTATATTATATTTTATTTTGCTCTGCTCTATTTCTGTAAACGGTTGTACTGCAGGAAAAGAATTTCCCGCAAGAGATTAATAATGTCATTCTGATTCCTATTGAGATCAAGATCTCACTTTCAAGAGACCTGTTTAATAATATTTTCAACTGCAGGAACAAAACACATAATAAAAACATTTTTATCAATTCAATAAACTTAAGCAAGTTGCAAGTGAGAATTTTTGTGCTAAAATAAATGTACTTTGTCCCCAAGGAATCCATGTAGATCATTTCAACTTTAGAGTATGCCACACTGAAGAAACAGGTGTCTGAATAGCGAAGTTTGAAGCAGCATCGTCTAAGTGTCAGGTATTAGGTTAGGTAATGCAGCAGTAGTGCAAGAATTTTAAAGATGCACCAGCCTATGGATTGCTATTTTTACTGCAATTTGCCAAGAATTTATATCTGCCAAAACAAATTACACGTTTTTACTATGCAAAATCCTTGCTAATTAAAGAAAACTGCCTTTAAATGCATATAAAGGAAGGGAGTTGAGAACATAGTTCAGATTCTTTTGCCTGTACAGCTGCTGCCTGAAATCATCGTCTCATGCATGGATAATCTAGGTCAACATGTTTTTTTTCTGTGAGGCACTGCTTGTTTAGGGAGACAAACATGATAACCTATATCTAGTTGACTACATGATGTGAAAACGTTAAATCTAAATAAAAGCAATAAATTAAGTTGATGGTTGGACCAGTTGAAAGATTACCTTAAAAAGCATTTTTTGTGACCTTAAAAGTGGAACTCTGCTGTGTATGAATGATATATAGAAATCAACTGAGCTGTATTTTACTCAGCTGTATTACCTCCAAAGCCTGGACGCATTGCAAAGTCATGATCTTCAATCCGAAGTAGCTGTTCAGATTTAATTAGCAGGGATTTTGTGCTGTCCAGCTTTTTCATCTTAAGATCCACCCGTCTGAAAAAACAAGAAAACAACCAAAAAGAGCAAATGACAGTTCAGTCATTCTCTTTCTAACAAAAGCAGATTTAAAGCAGAAGCAAAATCTGGTTAGGAGAGTGAGTGGTGGCTATTTGCACTTTAGCTCTGATTAAAACGAGAGCCTTGACCCGAATAAAATCAGTTCACTTACATTCAGGGTTCTGGCACTTGTAATTGGGTCAAAGATAATGTGGGAGCGCTCTTTTATCTACCTCCTGTGGTGATTAGTGTCTTCCTAGAAACAATCCAAAGCTGACTTTAATCGTACACACGACAATGTCTGTGCAGAGGGAAATTTCAGATCAAAAAATACCTCAAGAGTCACACGATTTACCGCCTGTTCTGACCTCGACCCATCAACATGGTATTAATGGAGTCATTGGGATCAATTATGCACGGAGATATCAGGAAACAACCACGTAAAAAAAAAAAAAAAAAGTTATGACCAAGAGAAATAAAAGATATCTCACCCTCCATGCTTTACTTTATTGCTCTCCCCAACGTAGACCTCTTTGTGCCTTTTCTTGTTAGGGAAGGTGCTGCTGTTGAGCTGAGTGACAGGCCACAGCCAGGCCAAAACCATCAGTCTCAAGGCCAGGAGGGCCAATCTCATGATTGAGCAGGGGCTTCAGATGCAAGAGGAACCCAAACGTCCCTCCCAGTTTGTCAGTGTCTCACCCAGACACGGATCTCCTGGTGTCCTATCGGCACATCCATGTCCCGGGTGCACTCATTCTGTCCCACCAGGCAAACGCCAGCTCATATCTGCCTCATATTTCTCTCTCATGTCTGGTAACATGGCGAACATCAGTGGAGATATCCAGCGGCTCAGCGCCAGTGCACGAGCATCCTCCTGGCTGAGTGAGCCTGTCACTGTGCCATCCCCCCTGTCCTGACGCAACACGTTGCTCCAACCCCCCCGCTCTTCCCACCCCTCTGATTTAAAACCAAATATCAATTTGTTCCTATAATGACAAAGGAATACCATTAATTCCTCTCTAATCTTCTTTTCTGCGGGTGGTGAAATCTTTCAGTAACCTACAAACTGGAGGCAGTGCAGGGCGGGGACAGCGCATAACACAACCTCCAGTTTCATCATCGTCCAGGCCAGATGAAAATAAAAGCCCTGTAGCCTAGTTTTTTTTTGTTGCAGGATTTTCCAGCACTAAGTTGCAGTCGGCTGTGCAGAGAGGAGATGGATGATCCCATCCAGAGGAGTCAGATGTGAGCATATGTCTGCAGTGGATTCTGTAGAAACTGAACTTATGGCCTCTGGCTGTATAGCATGCAAGCCTAACCATATGATCCCACAACTGGCACTTCATCTAGGATCAGAGAATTGAATCATATTTGACTCATGTCCTCTCTTTACAACCTTTTGTTGCTCTTTGTGATTTCAGAAAATGAACTGATTGCATCCTAAGCAAATATCAGTGTGCTTTTAGAGCAGGATTCACTGAAATGGAGGGAAACACTCAAATGATATCAAGCTCCTGCCTGCTGATGGACACATGATGGGAGAGATAAAACCACAGAGCATTTGGATTTATGTAAATTAAAAATCTGCTGGCCGATTTGCCCTACTTAAAACTCCAGAGCTAGTTCAGTGACTATTGGAGTTGTTTGGATTTTGGATCAGGCACAAAAACAACAGCAGCGTGTCCCAATGCTAACAGACTTGCACTTGCTGACTTTTGTTTTTCTTCCTTAAATGTGGAATATTTTCTCTTGATTAATTCTGTCTTTTACTTGTAATATACATGTTAAACACTATGCAACTAAACACACATTATCATCACCATGGCTCCATCATGCTATGGGAAAGTTTTTTTTGTGAGAAGGGACAGGGATGATAATCAGGGTCCAAGGGTTGATGGGCGGAGCTAAAGAGCAGAAAATGATCAAAAGAGAACTGTCAGAAGCTGCAAAGTATTTGAAATTAGATTTACCATTCTCAGAGCAAATTTAGAACTGTTAATTCAACTCTTATAGAAATAAATTGAACTAAAAATAAAAATTTACAAATTTTTGAATAGTTAACACACTGACTGACTCTGGTATAGGTATAATTCTAACTATTATTTTAATTCAGCACTTATCAGGTTTGATTTTTTCATACACCAGAGTGAAGTGACAATAGTTTACAGCACACAGCAGAGTTGATTATTCATAGTGATTAGTGGTAGAGCTAGACTGTTTTTGTTTGTGGAGGCAGAGGTTATCTAATGGGAAGAGATTTACACATGAGAATACATTTGTTGATTTGCATTAGCAGTTTGTAGCTTTAGGAATATTCAAGAACATTGTAGTAGGCACAAAGGGGATAAGATTTGAGTAAGTAATAGGCAATAAGCAATGTTATAAAAATAAAATCCGAAAACTACTTGGAATGTCTTAATAACGGAAGCAAAATATAGTGCTGTGCAAGTATGGGCCATTTATCATTTTATACTTTATTAAAACTTTTGTCTAATCAATGAGAGACAGAAAATTTTAGAGTTTATAATCAAAGATTTAATATGGTTGTGTTTTATTTTTCACGTAATTCACACAAGAAGAAATGTTTTAGAGCAAATCAGATACAAATACAACATGGTGGTCATGGCGCTAGTGGCATGCTCCCTTTAATCTGGGATTACAGTTGAATGAGGGCAGAGATGAGCAACGCCATCTTTAAGAATCAAGCACGTGGATCTTGGCACACTCATACATGTGACCCTTTAGGAAAACTTTCCACATTTGGATGTGCGCCCCCTAGAGGCCCATTAATCCATCCAGCCATCCATACAAACTTTCAGGATTAAAACATACTAAAACTAGATGCAGAAGTTTAATAAAAGCATTATGACATTGAAAATCATTTTAACTAATATGAAATTAGTTAATTTTGTTCATTTCTGTTGATCATAAATGACATGTCTTTCCAATTTTAATCACATCAAAACTTTACTCTTTTGATCACTGCGGTGCCGACCACACATTACTATAGTCATGGTTCAGATCAATTGAAATAAAATCAAAAACTTTTTTTATTATATGCAAATAAACAAATGTTCCCCCATCCAATTAAATTCTTTTGTCCACATTTGATGCCAAGTGGTTAGAGCATTGCACTTGAGGTTCTGAGTTCAAGTCGACACACTCCCAGAGACTGCCACTCTCAGTCCATGAGGGAGACCCTTAACCCCAGACTGCTCCATGGGCACCACACAATGGCAGCCCACTGCTCCCCAAGGGGATGGGTTAAATGCAGCTGTGAATTTCTCCAGTGTGAGATCAATAAAGTTAAATAAAAAAATAATTCTAACAAAAAAAAAACACATTATACAACACCATATAATTAATCCAAATGTAGAATAAATCATCAGTTTTCTAAATTAACTGTTCTTTATGTAACATTCAGTAGTGAGAACGGTACTGTACGTGGATTTATTTGGAGATCAAAACAAAAAAAAAGTGTTTTTGTTAGCAAACTATTTAAGAGGAGGTGTTAAGTGTTGTGCCGTGCACCATGAAGCTGGTTAAATTGTAACCTGCCTGGTTAATTAGTCCATGTTTCATTAGTGTTAGGAAGGATGTAAAGTGGAATTACACAGAAACAGTTCACTGCACACTAGTGTGTTTTCACACACAAGCCTAAGACTGTTACAGGTTCAACGCCTTGGCAGAAAGCGCCTGGAATGGCAGAAACACAAGGATTTATCCTCAGCCTGCTGGTTTTCTCAGGGAAGTTTTGGTGGACAAGTTCCAAAGGTATGTACTGTAATGCTTGACAATTGCTGCACTAAATTTGGAATATTTTTTCACAGATTTTTCATTTATATGAATAAAACTGTCCAGGAACTGCAGCATATCTATTAGGACTGGTTGAAAAGAATGATCTAATGTTCTGAGACTTATATGGAGGAGAAAGCTGTTTATTAGTAAGAATGAACAATCAAACTACTGTAAATCAGCACATCTATACTATGGAAGCATATGAACAAAGAAGAGAGCAGGAAAAATAAGCTTTGGGAAGCCAAATAAGTCCAATGTTGAAGCCCAAATAGGTTAAAATGGAAACATTTCTTTGAATTTTACATAAAAGCTGCAATTATTTTAAGGAAATTTGAGCAGAAAAAGAGTCTCGGAGTCATACAAAGGTAAGAAACTAGCAAACCCAAAACATTGGACAAAGGCTTGAATAAAATCAAAAAGACTTTGATGAAAACCAAACACCAGGCTCAAACTGTAGAACCAGAATTCTACAACAAATAAGAAAAATTGATTTTTTTCAGATGATAAAAATGAAGCAGGCTTTTTAGATGTCTGACATATAACGAGAGTCATGTGCCTCTTTGGCCTATGATAGGCTAGGCTAATCTGTTTAGGATACATTCTGCATTTCACCGAACGTCTGCTGGATTTAGGCACAAGTTCCTTTAAAGGAGAGTTAGGTATGGACCATCAATAGATGAATGTACATCTCCTGTTTGTATGTAAAGGTTTCTGTTTCACTTTTCTCCACATATTTAGTCTGAGTTATTTGTTTTATTTGCACCATTCCCTAAGTGGACGGCTCTGGCTGTTGACTCCCTTTGTCATTTTAGGTTAAAATGCTTTGCCTGTCTGCATACACCTTGAGCAGTTTTAATCTTAGTTTTAAGGAAACAAAAAACTTTTCCAATTGTTTAATAATCTCAAGGCTAAAATGCAGCAAAGTGACGTAGTAATTTCAGTGGGTCACGTTGTTTTGTTTTTGACTTCATCCCATCTCTGCATCACAGAAATTTGGCCTAGATTCACCAAATAGTTTACATTATCCAGACCGTCATCCGTATATCAAAGTGCATTTTTGTTTAGAGTTGTTTGAATTTAAAATCTTCCTTTGTTTTCAAAAAGTGCATTTTGGAATTACCTGCCTGCTTAGAGCAATAACAAAGTGTCATTCATTTTATAATTACTACTTATTATACTATAAATTTAAATGTTATTCCACCTCTGAAATAAACAAATATGTTTTTAGTTGAATGGATGGACCCAAATACAATAACTGGATCACAGTTTTAGAATTTCATTTCAAATCAGTTTAGATTATGATCCATTCATCAACCCAGACTTAGGCTTAGGGGAATAAGCAGACAGGTTTTATTGAATGCAATATTTTATTAAAAACAACTAACCAACTGCATTCATGCTTGTCTATTATTGAGTAGCTGCTACTTAGACAGTTATCTTAACAAACACAAAACTGAATATTTCTTATAGTAAGAGCAAACTATAAAAACCTACTATAAAAACTAAACTTTTTACTGTTTTCAAGGCTGCACTTCAAAAAATATGAAATTGTCTAGAGAGCTGTTCTTAACAACATTTCTTTTTGTTTACACTATATATATGTATCCAAAATGACAAATAAAATCTCTCTAAACTAATTTCTCATGTCATTCAATCATTTCTCATGTACAAAATTATGAAATTAAATTAACAAAAATAAGTCAATGTAAAACATGTTATATAATCAAAATTACCTGTAGTAGCCTGTCTTTGCATGTTGTGACATGAATACAGAATACTTTTAACTAACAGAATAACACAAATTAACTGTGCTGTTATATAACTGCATGTTTTCAGTCTTGTTACCAGAACTGAACGTCACCTGCATCATCCAAGATGACTGTGTCCTGCCGTGCAGCTTCAGACCCACCGGCACCGTGGTTATCCACTGGTACAAGCAACAAATCCCCGTCCACAGCTACTACTACCACAAAGATCAATTTGGACTCCAAAACAAGCACTTCAGCGGCAGAACATCACTGTTTAACTCCCAC